GTATTGTAAAATGATTTTTTTATATGTTGCACACCGGGTGAAGAATCAGTCGTGTAACATCGACGGTTCCTCCTGTTCTTTTTGAATACTTAATGAATTGTGACCTACATTGTTTGTGCCTACAATGTTTGTACCTACAATGTTTGTAAATTGAAATGATATGCTCATGTGTTATTTTTTTATATATTAATTACGTAATAAACTTTATTAAACTACATTATGATAAAATATTTTGTGATATTCTTTTTTTCGCCTGTGATCTGATTGGTTTTTATAAAACCAGGTGAAAATTAGCAATAGTTTATAAAAACTACGTATCCAAAAATTATTCCTGTTCAGTTAATTCGTATTATAATTTATTATTCTAAAATATATATATACTGTATATATATTTTCATAAAAGATTAACACTGTTCCTGGTTTCAGCACGACTATGTCGCACAACTACTAATTATGAAATTTGTAACAGATGGGACATCAAACGACTCTAATTAATGACATATCTCCTGGATAATCCTTATGCAATAAACTATTTTAACTCAAATTCATAACCAAAAAAACCAACCTAACCTTAATGATTACAAAAGCAATCGAATATCTATTAAAGTAAAAGATTGTATTAGAGTTAGGATGATGCATGTAATAAAGTTTAGACAAAAAGAAATATTCTTTAATATAACGTCGAAAATGATTATCAATTTAATAATTGATTTGATTTGTGTATTTTTAACGGTTTTACTGAGTAACTCATTACGCTGCAGGGTGTCAAAGATTGTTTTAGTATGTATATATGCTCGTTCTTAATACTAAATTAGTAATGTACAACGAATTTACATGTCTAAGTATAAATAAAGATTACAAATCTGGTTATGATGCATGTTAAAGAGACGTACGTACATACATAAGTACACCTAACTTTTTTAATTTTCATTATGTTTCAATTTATTTCATAAAATGTCGAAAGTTCATCACAAATAAAGTCCAGAAGATCTTTTTATTAAAAAAGTTAGTACCTATTGCTAGTTAATCATGTTACCTGCATGATCGAAATGATTCCTAAACAAAAAATATCCAAATTTGGTGAAGTAGATAATGTAAAAAAAATTAATAAATACATGTAATTTGGAAATTGGTTTTACTTACCTTTCTTTAGTTCTATTGTCTTTCCTTTCTTTCTTTTCTTCATTCCCTTCTTAGAATTTGTTTTTTCTTTTTGATAAAGAAAATGGGTTCTCTAAAATATTTTATCTATATTTCTGCATTAACTTATTTGTTCACCTTGGTTGCCTCGGTTGATCCGACAACAAAATGTGAAAATAGTAAAAGTAGTATAAATTCAAATGAACAAAAAGATTTATATAACGTTATTGTTAGTAGTGTAGAAGATAAAGATAGTCACCTTGAATGGTTAAGTACTTGTCAAAATAGGATTATTGGAAGGTCAACAAAAAGTATCAGATCAGTTAAGGACAAAAGTTATGTAAAGGATTTTTCTGTTGATGGTCTTCACGGGTATTCTGCCTGGTTTACTAAGGATATGGCTATCAATACAATCAAGAATAAACCTGGTACTCTTATTGTGGAAAAAGATGGTATTATGAAAATTAATTACGTAGTCCCACGTACAGTCCAGCCTAGCCCAGAACCAGGTTTAGATCGTATAGATCAAGCAAATCCTACTTTAGATAAAAAATTTACATTTCCTGATTCGGCAGGGCAAGGTGTAAATGTCTTTATAGTGGATACGTAAGTAGTTTAAAAATTGTTAATTTATATGTAATATTCATTAAATGGTTGAATTAATGATTTAATAATTTTCTGATATATAGTGGCATTCGTAAGACTCACAAAGAATTTCAAGGACGTGCTAAATCTGGGGGCGCTTTTTGTAATGGTTGTACATCTGATGATGATGGAAATGGGCATGGAACCCAAGTTGCTGGAATTGTGGCCGGTAACACTTTTGGCGTCTCAAAGAAATCTAACGTTATTGCTATAAAAGTTCTTGGCGATGATGGTTCGGGTAGTAATACAGATGTTATATCTGGATTGACATCTGTTCTAGCACAGCATAAAAATGCAACAAACAAAAATACTGTAGTCAGGTATGCATTAATTATATATAAATCATTTGAAGAATATAATCGTTAATTGAAATTTTTTTTTAGTATGTCTCTTGGAGGTGCAAAATCAAATGCTGTTAATGCTGCAGTAAAAGCGCTCACAGATGCAGGAGCTCATGTAGTTGTGGCTGCAGGAAACGAGGCTGCGGATGCATGTACTTCATCACCATCATCCGAACTATCAGCAATAACTGTCGGCGCAGTAGACGTTGAACTTAATGATACCAAAACGAATAATATTGCATTTTTCTCCAATTTTGGAAAATGTGTTGATATTTTTGCACCAGGCGTAAAAATTAAATCAGCTGGTAATAAAACTGATACTGATATTCTTGTATTTTCGGGAACTTCTCAAGCAACACCACATGTTTCTGGTACAATTGCTCTTATTATTGCTAAAGAAGGTAACAAAAGTCCTGCAGAAATGGCCACCGCATTGAAAACCTTGTCAACTACAAATGCTATAGATTTTAGTGCTGTTACAGGCGCTGATAAAGCTTCGCCAAATAATATGTTGCGCGTACCTGCGCCATAAAAATTGAAATGTTATTAAATATATATAGAAAAATGGTAACCATTTTCAATTGTTCCTTGTATCTTTTGTAATAAATATATTAAATTTGTAAAAATTGTCAAGGATAATAATTAAAAATAGAGTTTCTTATACATAGTATGTGAAACGAATAAATTTTAATTCACAAAGTTAAAGATATTTGTATTGATATTTATAAAATTTGTCACTAGCTATTTTTATAATAATAGCTGAAATTTTGCATAGTTTGTATTTATGAAAAAAGTAACCACTATATGTACAGTACTTAAGTAAATAAAGCATGTAATTGGTAAACAAAGTGTGGTCTAACCTAATATACAGTAATATGATTATGTAATTCAGGTCAGGAGATAAATGCAGGATAATGAAAAAATATAATGATTTAATGTATCTTAAAAATTTAAAAAGATTATTGATGTTACAAATCTAATATTTAATTTTATTGTAGTTCTGTATTTAAATTAAATCATATTGAATGATTACAAAAAGTCTGATTTGTGACAAATGTCAATTAGTCAAAAGTGTGAAAGAGAATTTCGGATAAACAACTATAGATGTAAATTCGTAGATATTAATTGCAGATAGGTTTGTTTAACAATTACATAAACCAAAAGTATCTTTTTGTGGGCAATACTAGGATCGTTTAAAAAAAGTGAAATCTGTATTGCATCTGGTGTAGTTATTTATTTGAAGTACAATTTGGCTAAATTTAAAATTTGGATTTCGTGACCACTTTGCTGAAACTTGTAAAATTAAATATTAGGTGTATTACTTATTCATTATATTCGAATAGACCTTTACCGTTGTGTATTACAACAATTATGGATTCGCAAGGATATAGTTTCGTGACTTGCAAAACTTTTAACCGAATATTGGTATCTTTCATTAAAAAAAGCACTTACACGCCAATTTTAAAAATAATAGATTGACTAACTATAATCGTAAACACCCAACTTATAACCTTCAAGATGACCAAACTCTTAGTATTAATGAGTATTCGCCAAATACATCTAAATAATAGTTTGGAACGGTGTATCGTCAACCTGATTGCTAGACAAAAATTGCCTCTTTCGACAGTATACAGGTTACTATAAGATGATGACGAGTCGATTAGATGCATGTGTGCTTTTATAATAATTGGTCGATCGTTTCCTTTACGTAGTTGGGTATACGTTTGTCTGTTCGTGCGTTTGTATGTTGTGTTAGAGAAAGATGTTTCTAGAACGTGACTAAACCAGAGCTGATACTATACGTATGTAAAGTTTCATATGAAAAATTGCAGACTTTAATTGAAGTATGGGTCCTTCTATCGATTGACTATGTGTACTATATATATATAAATACATGAAATATCTAACTGACCCAATAGATCGATATGATACAAACGTTATTCAACTGAAGTAATACTTTCGCATGCCGACTTATTATTTTTCGCTTTCAAGGAAGCCAAAAGTTACTGGTTTAATCATATATAATGATCTTTAAACTTTGACGCATATTGTGTTTTTTGTTTCTTTATTATCTATAGTGTTAGACCCGAAACACGTGATCCACGAGTGACGTGGATCTTCGCCGTATGACCCTAAGTCACGCTCTCTCGGGTAT